GCCCCGGTAGTTAGCTGTTTAAATCCACATTGATTTAGGGTGCAGCAATAGCTAACTTCTTCTGAAATGTACCTCATTCTTTGTGAACAGCAGCTCCTTGTGCCTATTCCACTTGTTATCTATTCTTGTAAAAAACTTTAAAAAAATAATAAACCAGCTTTTTTATTGTTCTTCCAGAAACATAGGAAGCCAACTTGAAAACTAGCAAGGAAAGCAGGGCCAATGACCATCCCAAAGGGTTAGGAGTAGGGCTGGCAGGGAGGGTAGCAAACAGAGTTCCTGTATTATTATTCTACCACTAATAATAACCAATATCTTCATAAGTCTTTACAGTCTGCAAATTGCTCTTATGTGTTATTTTACATAATCATATTTAATTGTTGTTGAGCAAATTGTAAGTATTATTGGTGAGAGCAAGGAATATAGTTTGAGGGGATAACCAATGGATAGATGTGTTGAGGAAAAAAAAAAAGGAGTTGGTAAGGGAGCTAAAAAAAATTAGAGACAGTGGTCTAAATCATGCATTCTCTGTGGAGGTGGTGTTGCCACCAAGGGAGTGAAAAGTGTTCTTGGGGGTCAAATAAAACAAAGATATTATAGTGGTTTGTGACTCTCCAAAGGACTACAGCACAAAAACAGCTATACAGTATATTTGTGATAATATTCATGGTAGGGGGTGAGTAGGAAAAAATGTTTACAAAGGTTTGTTGAGGGTGAGGGTGATAATGAAAAAAGAGGTTGAGGCCCATCGGTCTAAACCCTGCTGTGCCTGTGGAACTTTGTGACATTCACGAATGATTCTTCTGTTCCCAGATCTGTTAGACAACTCATTTGTCAAACACACTGTATGCTTCTAGCTTCATTTGTCTTGCCCGTCTTCCCCAAGGCCCTGAATGACCATGTTTTGCCACTTAAACTCTTTTATCTTCTGGTCACAGCTGACTGAATTAGGGTGGACATAAAAGCCAAAACCAGGGAAGGCACCAACTGGCCAGTGAGTGACCAGTCCCAGGAAGCCTGGCTATACTCACTTCCCATCATCAGGCTCCTGTGATGCTGCTCTGTATTTTTATAATGTCTGCTCTACCACTCTCTTTGAGATGACTTGAGTGGGGAACAAAAGAGCCCCAGCCAGGATACTTGGCCTGGTGGTGTACTATTTGAGTGAGACTGGATGTGATTGAATGAGGATGGGGGAGAAATCTGTTTAAGTCATCAGCTCTTCATCCTTCATGTATTATCTCTGATTAGAGTAGGATTTCTCAACAGCTGCACTATTGCCATTGTGGACCGGAGACTTCTTTGTGGGGGAGGGAGCTTTGCTATGCATTGTAGGAAGTTTAGGAGCATCTCAGGCCTCTCTCCATTAGTTGCCAGTAGCACTGCTGCTGCTCCCCAAGTTGTGACAACCAAAAATGTCTCCAGACATTGCTGAATGTCCCCCCTTGGGGGGGGGGGCGCGCAGCAAAATTGCCTCCAGTTAGAACTACAGATCAGGAACTTATCAACCTCTTAATTATTATCAGTATGATCATCAATGCCATAAAGGGCTCGTAATCTACTGTTAATCGTCAACTTAATGAGGATGTTACTAGAAATGATGGAAGATTGTCCTGGACAGCCAAGACCAGTTGTTAGCATGGTATTCACAGCTAACATTCAGTGAGTGCCTGCTTGTGTGCCAGAAGCTTGCTGACCATGTTCTGGACTGCTATTATTCTACCCATCCTACGGTTGAGGGAACTGAGACACAGAGATGTTCAGGGACTTGCCTGAGGTCACCCAGCTGGTAATAGTGGAGTCACCTATGCAGCGTGGCTCCAGAGCCCATATGTTCATGAGCCATAACCTCTCCATCATACTGTCCTTCCTATAATGTCTGTACTTCTTCATGTTGCACAACATTCAGCACAAGGCCAAGCACATAACAAGTTCTCACTAGACCCTTATTGTTTCTGTCCTTATTAACATTGGCGTTTATTGGGGCACTTTGCTCTAGATCTCTGCTTCATGAGAATCTCTGCTCAAATATCACTCAGTGATGACGTTTCTTATTACCCTCTATAACATCACCCTCCTCCACTCCCTAGATCCTTATCCTGCTTTATTATTCCTCGTAATACTTATCACCATGTATTTATTGTTGTTCTGCCGCTCCCCTACAGACTGAGATACAAGCTGCATGAAAGGAGGGGCTTTGCCTGTTGTTTGCTACTGTATTCATAGCACCTAGGACATACCTTGGCATATAGTAGATGCCTGTTAAATGTATGAAATGAATGAAGAAACCCTTTAACTCGCATGCTATATTCAAATCTCCTTACTCTGGTTATTTATCATTACTTTTTCCTTAATATTGCATTAAAAAAATAACCTTTCTCTAAATGACCAGGAACACTTATGGAGAAGAGGGGCAAAACCCTTGACAGGTTATTGGGGATCCCCAACTAATGCCTATCAGAGATTTACTGTTAACTGGCCTATGTCGCTCACATATATTCATTTTAAATTTTGCTTTACTGGTCTGTGAAAGTAATTCAATAGAAGTCATAATAATATACATAGTAAAATTAATTTAAATTTAGCTTGGGTTTAAATCACATAGTAAATTATGAACTGTTAAAAAATATTTTAATCCTCACTTGAGGATATGTTTTTATTGATTTTTAGAGATGAAGGGAGAGAGAGAGAAAGAGACATCGATGTGAATTGATGTTACAGAGAAACATCGAGCAGTTGCCCCCCATACGTGCCCTGACTGGAGATCGAGCCCACAACCTAGGTATGTGCCCTGACTGGGAATCTAGTCCCAAATCTTTTGGTGCATGGGGTGATGCTCCAACCAGTCACCTGGCCAGGGCTGGTTTTTGAGAAACATGTTATAGACAATATAATGGCAGATTTTTGCACAAAAATAATCAGAAGTTGATTCAGCCTTCCCATCTCTCTCTAAAACTACTATTCATAAAAGTTGAAAAGGATCATTTTAATTAACATTTACTAAAAACTTAGCAATTGCTCTCATTATATAATGTAGCCACATAGTAGCACAGTTAAATTACAGTCAAAACCCTTTTATTTCAAAACTACCTCTCACCCTCCAAAAAACTATCTAAAATGTTTTGACTCCTTTCTCTCCCCAAAGTGGAGGGCTTAGGGTAGTTGCCCAGTATGGTTTTTGTAAAAACATCAGTTACTGTCTTGAAATGAGGCAGTTCAGGCCGTCATGCTTGATCTAGACATGAGAGAGCTTGTTCTCCAAACCTAAATACTAGCCCTGAGAAATTTAGATCAGATTCATCCCTCATCTGTGTTTAAACCTCCTCAGACCCCATACAGCTACATAGGCTGAGGAGGCAAACAGATGCCTTTCTGTTGTTGGCATTTGGGGATGGAACATATGTCTCCAAATTAGAAAGGATGTTTAGCAGACCACCATCTTCTATGCTCATCACAGGTTCTCAGCTCTCCAAACTCCTCCTGTCCCATAGTTGGTGTACTGCCACCCTCGTTACTGAATTCCAGTGTCAGCCACCTGAACTCATGGACAGGAGACTGTTCCATTGCTCACTAAGCCTTGCTCAACAGTGGGTCAGATTTTTAAAGAGGTTATATGGCATGATTTTATGTTATACTGTCTTATGTTCATAGAGGCAAGAAGGTTGCCTGGGAGATCCTAGGCTCTTAAGGTGTGTCTAGAGTGGCTTGGATTCATTCCTTTAAAGCCCCATATGAATTAACTTCGAAGACCCAGCTGGCAAAGGTAGCTACTCAAGCATCTCAGGTGGTGATACAGCCCAAAAGCTACTTGGCAGAATAGAGTGGGAGAATTCCCATCTGACATTCAGGGAGCTTTATGATGTGAGGACCATGTCAGAAGTGGGAGTGGGAACACAACGAAAGATGAAATGATATTCTCTCTCAGGGTTGGACAAAGTGAAATATTTTAAGTTAGGACTCAGAGGTCCATAGAGTTCCAGACAGATTTAGACCTTCCTCCTGTGCCTTCCAACCTGAGGACAGCACTAATATCAGGAGTGATGCACATGGTATTACTACAACTTATGCCTCACACAAGAAAGAAAGGACTTGGTTGCTGGTTGTCTACTTTCTACAATTTCTTAAGAGGGAAATATCTCAATTAGTATTGATCAGATTAGACTTAGTTTATTATCTGACACTGACTATCGTCTCAGTAATTTTTCTATGTGTGGGTAATAGATTGTAGCAAAAGAAAAAAAATGTCTATGAAGATGATTATGCTCTTAGGTTAGGATCCTCTAAGAATGAACAGTTACTGTTAAGAAAATTAGAAAGCATAAAAGAGGGCATTCCAAGCAGAAACTTATTTTGGAATTTTATTGTTAACAGATGGCAGCTTCACATGTCAAAATCTATGTATGAGGAAAACACTGAGGAAAAATGACATCTAAATCAGGCCCAGCCACCCCATGAACTTAAGAGCTTGCTCTGTTGTGCAGAGGTTTGGTTTCATTTCTGTGATAATGGATCACTGTGATGTCCAAGCTCATGGGTTAGTGTCCAATACTGTTCCCCATTCCTTTTTTGAATCCTCTGGGAGCTCTGAGGGCTCAGAGTTCACATCCCTGCGAAATGTACTGGTGAGCTCTTTGCTGGAAGACCCATTTCCTTGATTTTCCCTGTCCCTTCCCTTTCCCATTGGGCAAGATGTGGACAGAGAACGTAATGCATTTACTCCACTGATACTGTGTGGTGCCAAATAGGACCCCAGGCCGCAAAGTCTCTGAGGTATGCAGGGATGGATAGGAAGGCTACAAAGAGAAGATGGCAGTACTCTCTTTTCAGAGGTGGAATGTGCCACTCACATAGACCTGAATAGATCTACAAAGATTTCTTGGCTTGAGCATGTGTGGGCACAGCTTGTGCTCCCGTGTATACCAGCAGAGATGTGATTAAGGTTCAGAGGCAGCCTTCAGTTAATGTGGCTGAGGCTGGTCTCAAGTGGGGACAGAGCCTCCTCAAGGGGTCCAGGTAGACAGGAGATCCAGTGACAGGTTTCTCTGCTCTTGCTCAGATCTAATGAGGCGGTAGCCTAGCATGTTCATGGCTTTGCCACAGGCTTCCTGAAGTCGAGAAACCTTTTTGTAAGGCAAGGACAAGCGCCAGGCCTGGGAGGTGCTGACGGCATCCCTGGATTCTGTTTTGAAGGGATGACTACCCGTGCCCTTGCCTTGAGTGATGTTGTGCACCCAGGTCTGGAGGTGGGGCAAGAATTTCAATCCTGCATAGTCATACAATCGGGCAGTCTGGGCCAGGGGTTTCCGGACGAGGTCCTCATAGCGCATGAGCAGGTAGCGCTGCTTGAGGTCTTCGGGCAAGGTCTGCACGGCCTTATAGATCTCCAGCTGGCTTTGGCAGATGATCTGCATCACATAGTAGGGTTTGTCATCTTCCTGGAGTTTCTGCTGCTCCTGTCTCATCACAATTTGGCTGTCAATCATGAGCTCGTTTGTGGTGTGTTCTCGGGAGTGGAACACTGCCCGGGGGTCCCGGACCAGGTGCACGATGTGCAGATTGAGGGAAGGGTCCCTCAGCAGCGGGTACAGCACCTGCAGGTTGAAGAAGCGCACCTCCTTGAGCACCACGTGGCTGTAGTTGCGGCAGGCCTTTTCCACCACCTCAAAGGGCTCTTGACTGCACAGGAGCCTGCAGTTATCCGGGTTTGTGATGGTATCCTGCGGGAAGATGTTGCAGGCGGGTGCGGTACACAGAGCCCGGCTGGTTTCCCACAGGAAGAGGCTGGACTGTTTTTGGGGGCCAGGTTTCATGTAGGCATCAAAGACGCTCATATCACACAGAAAGACGGACCGTATCAGATCCCTCACCGCCATATGCAGGCTCCTGGGGGTGCTCTGTGTGAAGGTCATCCAGACGTGCCAGGCAGGCTCCATCAGGTAGAAGACATCTGGGTGCTGTCCAAAAAGCTGCCCCACAAAAGATGAGCCAGAGCGCCAGGAAGACAGGATCAGCACGTGCATAGGCTGGGGCTCCTCCCTCGTAGACGAGGAGTTGAAGTTGTTGTGGTTGTACAAATGGATGAATAGAATGAAGACAGCCATCTGGGAAACCAGGAACAACAGCAGTGGCCTCAATTTTGGGGGCAGCATCATTGTGCCAAAGTGGAAGACCTTTAAGGAACAAGCAGAGGGACTATGTTGGGCTGTTGTTTTGGTGTCTGCCCTCTATCCCCTTCCTAGCCAAAGCCACCTACTCCCTGACGCCCACCAATGAGCAATGCAGAGAGCTGGAGCCTTCTTGCAACCAGTTGCACAAACCCTCCTCAGTATCAATTCCTGCCCCTTACAGTTAATGTGTCAATAAGTTCTATTTATTTTAGGCTCTTTACTTCCTCTCTCCTGGTCTTTCTTGTCCATTGAGCTACCAAAAATGTCTGAACTCAGCCATATTTCATCAATGTAGGGGAACAGCTCCACCCTGGCACCCTGGTGACATGCACATCTTTACACAGGCCACTAGGTAAAGCTTAACTGCAGCCTGGCCCAAGTTGTGGTGAAAGCCCTGTGATTCCTTCTTAAACCAAGGATGACAAGCTAGCTTGTGAGGAACTACCTTGAGGCTATCACCCACCTTCCTTTGTTGAAAATGTGACATTCTCCTTCCTTTATCTCAATTAAGTACAGGACTCCCAGTCCCCTGAAGCTTATGGCTGCCAGCTGTAAAGCTGTTTGGCTTTAGTTTGGAGTTACCTCCTCAGTGTCATGTAGTCCCCCCTGTCATCCTGTGGGACTAGGAACCTGGGGAGCAGACCCAGTGCTGACCTCACGTATGTGTAGGTGACAAATTATCTGACACTATTTAGGTTGAATTGTCTCTTTAATAGCCAACTCTGTAAAGTGTGGCAAGCCAGCCTGAGAACTGCAGTAGTGATGCTTGTGGCCTTTTAGCGACTGTGCGGCTGCCTGGGGGATGCTTGACACTCAACACTACCTACTCAGGGCTGCCCAGTATGGTTGGGCAGGTTGTGTAATGTACAATCCTAGGGAATGCCATCTCATCAAGGATTTAAGATATTTATTATAAAAAAAATGTTGTGGTAGGTGACAGTAAACTATCTTCGTCCAACAGCATAAATAGATTAGATTGACTTGATAGTTGTTAGATGTTAAATATTTAGAGAAATGAATTTCACCTTGTGGTTCGCTCTAAAGCTCATACAGGCTGGTGGCAACCCTGAATGTATTCTTGTCACAGTCAGAGCTCGCTTTGTGTGAAAAGACCATGGTTCTCAGTGTCATGCTAGGATATTATTCCAAGGGAGATCTTAACCCTCTTCAAGGGGTTAAGATGATTCTGGATCATTTTGGGTAACTTACATAAATAACTATTAAGAGATAAAATAGTGCCCTGGCTGGGTGGCTCAGCTGGTTGGAGCACCCATGCATCAAAAGGCTGTGGGTACCATTCCCAGTCAGCATGCATTCCTAGGTTGCAGGTTTGATTTCCAGTTGGGGTGCCCACGGGAGGCAACTGATTGATGTTTCTCTCTTACATCGAGTTCTCTCTCTCTCTCTCTCTCTCTCTCTCACTCTCTCTTAAAAAAAAAAATAAATCAATAAACATATCCTTGGGTGAGGATTACAAGTAAGTAAGTAAGTAAATAAATAAATAAATAAATAAGATAGCTTATTTCACAAAGGGTAAAGTACTAATAGTAGCAAGGTGCTAATTTACATACCACTATATAACCCAGAAATTCTTCCTTTAAGCTTTAATAAAGAAGAGAAAATATATTTCTAAACAGTAACTGGAGCTGGATTCAGGGTTTGCTATTTTCCTGGTGACAGGTCTTATCACCACTTTTTAAAAAGTTTTTACTAGGTGATAGTCACATGGTTCAAATTGTTTTAAAAAGTATCATTAAATATTAGGGGATCGCCAGCCGGGCGTGGCTCAGTGGTTGAGCGTCGACCTAGGATCCGGATGATCAGGGTTTGATTCCCGGTCGGGGCACATGCCCGGGTTGCGGGCTCCATCAGTGACTCTCTCATCATTGATGTTTCTATCTCTGTCTCTCCCTCTCCTTTCCTCTCTCTGAAATCAATAAAGATATATTTAAAATAAATAAATAAATAAATAAATAAATAAATAAATAAATAAATATTAGGGGATCACTTTGTAAATTATATAAATGTCTGAATACTATGCTGTACACCTGAAACTAAAATAAAATCATATTGAATGTCAACTGTAGTTGAAAAATTTAAAAAACACAATGAAATAAAAACAATATACAAAAAAAAAGTATCATTATTATGGACATTAAATATACAGACTCAGAATTTAAAAGAAGGCTTCCTCAGATTCTGCATGCAGAAAGGAAATAAGGGGAATACTTGCCAGCCTACAGCCTTGTCTGTCACTTCAGGTCTGTAACTATTGCATGATAGGTGAGGGGAAATCCTGTGACAAATAGTTGAGTCTGTGGAGCAGCCTATAGTCATAAATTAGAAAACTTCTAGAGCTATTTGTAAACACAGGTAATGGCATACTTTTTAAAGGGGCTACAGCATTGTTCTGGGGGAAAGAACACCTAAATGTTGGTCTGCTTCTGAAGCAGTAACCTCCTCTCTGTTTACTAACAGCTAGTATTTTTACCTATTAGCTGGTGTTTTGTCATCACTGTCAGTGAAAGGCCTGCTTCTAACACCTGTCCTCCATCTGCCCATTTCTAAACTTGCTCCCAGATAGCAACTGAGTTCATTTTTCCTGTGTCCTTTCAGTTGCCTTTTTGCATATATAAGAAAATTCAAATGTATATGTGTTCTTAAAATTTTCCCTCTTTATAATGCAAAAAAAAGAAAGTTAATCCACACAGTGCAGCACCTTGCTTTTTAACTTAACAGTAAGTCTTGGAGAGCTTTCCATGGCTGTAGGTAAAGTGTTTCCTTGTTCCTAGAATAGAATAGAATTCTGTGGTGTGGATGTCCCACAATTTATTTAACCAGTTTCCTCATTGATGGGCTTTTGGGTTATTTCCAGTATTTTGCCATTTCAAAAACTTTAATAATGGCCTTTATGTTCATATAACACATTACTCACGTATGTAAGCCAAATTCCCAGAAGTAGAATTGCTAAATCAAAGAGTACAGATGTATATGTACCTTTGATATCTATTGCTCAGATAGCCTTCACACTGTTCATAAACCATTCTCTATGTCCAGAGCTCCAGAGATACTAGAGAGTGGAGTTTAGAGGAGGAATTGGACAGCCACAGATGTGACGCTTGGAGTTTATAGCTTGCTTCCTGAAGAGGTAGTGCATTCTTGGCCAGCTCATGGGCTTCCCATGGAAGTCCCCTGAAACTTCTGGGAAGTGTGTAATGACTCCAGCCAAACCTTGTGTGGCAGTGGCATAGAAGTCCCTCTTTTCCATTCATTTATACAAATGCATTTCCTCCATATGTGCCAAAAGGATACAGTGAGGATCATCTCTCCTTGGTGGCCAAAAGCGCTTTGGTATATATGAGGGAAAGATCAGTGAGTGGTCATTCCTGTTTTGGCCCTTAAGGTTAGAACAGGAACAGTTAAGGCGTGCTCCTGGTTCTTTTAAACTTGAGCTCAAGAGGAAATGATTAGAAACCCATCAGGAAATGATTAGCAACTAGGCCATTATTGATAATGGCCCAAGAATGCACCTACCCCCCCAATGACTGAAGAGGTGACTTTAGCAAGAGATCTTCTCCCAAAGGCAATGTGAGCATGAGGAAAAGTTTGGAACAAAGATAGGAAACAGTGGAGCAAAAGACAGAGGAAAGTTAAGAAGAACTTGACCTGGGCGCAATTACAAGGAAACTGGGATAGAATTTTATAAGCAGGGCCTATAATCAACTCAGGAAAAAGCTAACATTAGGATGAGAAAAGTAAACTTAAAAAAAAACTTCAAAAAATATGTCTTTATTGATTTCAGAGAGGAAGGGAGAGGGAGAGAGAGAGAAACATCAATGATAACAGAGTCATTGATTGGTTGCCTCCTGCACAACCCCAACTGGGGATCGAGCCTGAAACCCTGGCATGTGTCCTGACCGGGAATCAAACCACGATCTCCTGGATCCTAGGTCGATGCTCAACTGCTGAGCCACACTGGTTGGGCATGTTTCTTTTAAAGTTAAATATACACTCATTAGATGACCCAACAATTCTGTTAGGCACAATGGCTTTGAGTCCTCCTTGCCTGCTGATAGCTCCTGGCCTTTGCCCATTCTCTCCCAAATCGGGAACAGGGCCTACTAACTCTGTCCCCAGTTGTCCTCAGGATTAGTTGTTCAGGATTCTTAGGAATTCCCATGGGAACCCTTTGATTTATTTCTTTGCTTTTTCTTTCCATGGGCATTTTCCCTGGCCAGAAAGTAAGTTTGCTTTTGTAAAGTGAGTCCCACCTCTTGGTATCCAGACACATCCTGGATCTAGGCAACCCATGATGGGCTGACCAGAACAGCTGGGGAATACTTTATAGTGTGTCTTGGGCAAAGCTCATCTCTGCAGAGACTGTTATCAGTGGTAGAAACGGACATTCTTTTTTCAATCCTCACCAGAGGATAGTTTTTTAATTGATTTGAGAGAGAGAGGAAGGGGGAGAGGGAGAGAGAAACGTCGATGTGAGAGAGAAACATTGATCTGTTGAGTCCCTTACGCATCCTGACCCGGGATGTAATGCAAGACCTAGGTATGTGCCCTGACCAGGAATTGAACCCGAAACCTTTTGGTGTACAGGATGACGGTCCAACCAACTGAGCCACCCAACCAGGCAAGACGGACATCCTTGAGACCCTGGGAGAAGGGAGGTGATGTGGCTGCCTGAAGAAAAGGAAACCGGAGACTTTTTATGGCAATCTGTTCTAATCTAACCACCACCTTTTCCCAATTGTTCTGCACTTACCTCCTCTGTAGTCCCTGGAGTTAATAAGTATTTTTAGGAAGTCTGTGACCTGACTCCTTCTCAGAATCCCTACTCCACCGTCCTGAGTGTTTTTTTTGGCTGTTCAATCGCATGCTTGAATCCCGCCCTCCCTGTTGCCAGAATCCTAAATCTGCTCATCTCTAGCCTGGCTTTGACAGTAAGTAGCCTCTCTCTCCTGTCTCTCAGCTCTGCA